ACTGATTGGCCCGTTAGCTCAGGCTTCTTATTACCTCTTATTACTTATATTAACCCATTGTTCTTATCTATGCTAGCCAAATGGCTCAGTACCTTTTCTAGCTACTTTGTTGAAGAAGCTTCACATGTTGCTTCTTTGGTGATCTGGGGTGGACTGTGAGGAATGGGCTTCTTCCTTTCCAGCATTCTCCTGTTCTCATCGCCCTGCCTCTACTTCCTGTCTGGTTGACCTGCCTATACTTCCTGCCTGGCCAATCAGTGTTTATTTAAAATATGATGCCAGAAGAAGACAATTCTCCTGCACCAGTTCAAAGTGTGCTTGCTCCAAAATTCATGCTAAAGCTTAATCTCTATGTGGTAGTACTAAATGATGAGGTCTTTGCTGGGAGGGATAATGAAGTTATCAGTGTTTTCATGAGTGGATACATGCTCCTATGAAAGAGGCTGAGCGGCTGACCACCATCCCTCTCAACCTCACTGTCTACCTGTTCATCTCTGAAGAGTGCAATGCCAAGGCTAGAGAGAGCAGACCTCACGTGCCCATTTTCTTCAATTTCCTGGCCTTTGTAATGGTGGGAAGTAATCTGTTTCTTACAAACTTCCAACATGCCAGGTAGTGGTGGCACACACCTTTAATCTCAGCACTCGGGAGGCAGAGGTGGCCGGTCTCTGTGAGTTCAAGGTCAGCCTGGTCTACAGAGCGAGTTCAGGACAGCTAGGTTGTCACATAGAGAAATCCTGTCTCAAAAAACCAAACCAAACCAAGCAAAAACAAACAAACAAAAACAAAAATATCCTTCACAGGCTTAGGTGTCATTTTGTTACTGCAGCACATATGGATCAAATTCTCCAGTATCTGATAGGTGGGAGCTGTATCATTGAAACCTACTTTCTCATTTTACTTGATTGTTTTTGTGCTGTTGCTGGTGGTGTGTGTGCATGGATGAGAGGGTACACATGCCTTTTGTTTGCATGGATGAGAGAGTGCACATGCCTTTTGTGTGCATGTGTAGAGGCCAGGGGTTGACATTGAGTATCTTATTCCATTGCCCTCTACTTCATTAGATCAAAAGTCTCTCTCTCTCTCTCTCTCTCTGTCTCTCTCTCTGTGAGTGTGGGTGTGTTTGTACATATGTTTGGGTTAGATGTGTATACATATGTAGATGCCTGGAGAGATCAGAAGAAGCTGTCAGATTCTCTAGAACTGGAGTTCCAGGTGCTTTTGAGTTCAGGGAAACAAAGCCTGGTTCTCTGTAAGAGCAACAAGTGTTCTTTTCCTCTGAGCCACCTCTCTAGCCCTGCACCTCACTGTCTGAGACAGCATTTCTCAGTGAATCCGAAGCTCGCCAGTGGCTGGGCTGGTTACCAGGTGCTTCCAGGATCCTGTCCCCTCCACTCGGCCCTGAGTTCCATGTCAGGCACTGCTGTCTCCCTGTTTCCTGTCACATTTCCAGGAAACATTACTTACTAATTCCAGTGGTTTATTCTGTTGGTCAAGAGAGTAGGGATTTTATTTACCTTCATTTTGCTAAGAATACATAGCAATTCAAACTACTTTGAATAGTTAAAATCTTGTTGTTCTAATGGCAGTAATTCTTTTTAAAAAACATTTATTTATTTATTATATATACAGTGTTCTGCCTACATGTATGTCTGCATGACAGAAGAGGGCATCCGACCTTATTACAGATAGTTGTGAGCCACCATGTGGTTGTTGGAAATTGAACTCAGAACCTCTGGAAGAGCAGCCAGTGCTCTTACCCTCTGAACCATCTCTCCAACTCAGCAGTGATACTTTAAACAATTTTAAAACCTACAGCCTACACTTCTATGTATAGAAAACAGAACCTAGCATTTGTGGCTATAGAGAACCACAATTATAGTATCAATTGTCCCTTTTCAATTCATAGAAGAAATAAGGAGTTTTGGTCTAGAAATACAGAAAATTTAATCCAAACAAAACATTTTATAGATTAAAAAAAATCATTTTGACACTTAAAAAAATCAAAGTACAGGGAAAGGGCTTTGTGAAAAAAGGCTTAGCTTTGACATCTGTCTTGCTCCCATACGCAATGTTTATGTTGGCTAACCTGATTAGAGCATGCCCAGAATGAGGTCAGCCAGTGTCTGAGCCCCACAATCCTTCCTCTGACCTTGTTGGGTTAGGACTACAACTTAGTCAACAAAGTGTTCGCTGTACAAGCCTGAAGACCTGAGCTTGCAATCCCCAGAACCTATGTAAAAACAGCTGGGGGTGGTGACCTGTGCTGCAAATCCAAGGCAGGGGAGGTAGAACTGAGCATATCTCTGACACGCACTGGCCAGTCAGTTCAGCCCAATGGGAGAGTCCATGTACAGTGAGAGGCTTTGTCGGTTAAACCAAAGTGGACTACTCTTGAGGAAAGACATCTGGGTTGACAACTGGCCTGGCCTCTACACACACAGACACAGACACACACAGACACAAACACCCACACCCACCCACACCCACACCCCCCCCCACAGAGAGAGGGAGAGAGAGAGAGAGAGAGAGAGAGAGAGAGAGAGAGAGGTGTCCTTGTCATTGTTCTAAAGTAGAAATTGCAAGCTCCTTGATATTAAAATATTTAGTTTTAAAGCCCTATGACTTTAGTGTCTGCTACTTAACTCTGCTCTTGAAGCTGAGAAATTGTAATAGATAATACACAAGTGGGGCTTTATTTATATAAAACAAAAAGCAAGCAACAAAAGCAATAAAAACATGTGACTGTCTGAGTTTGACCTGTGTGGTATTGTCTGATAATACGTTTCTCATTGCTACAATCAAATACTAATAAGAAGCAAGTTGGGGTTGACAGGTGTTATTTTGCTCATGGTCTGAGGGTGTTGTTCATCACGGTGGGGAAGTTTTAGCGACAGGAGTCGCCTGTGGCTGTGGTGGCAGGAGCGTAAGCACAGATGGGGCAGGAAGTGATGCCAGGCTGTAAATCCTGTGGGCTCTTCCCAGTGGTCACTTCTAGCAAGCCTCAAACTTCTAAAAGTTCTACAATATTTCCAAACAACACTATCAATTGGGATCTCAGTATTCAAACCCATGAGCCTATGAAGAGTACTTCCCATTGCACCCATGGCCACATCTAGCAGAGAACAGCCAGTGCTAGTAGGCTGGCTTGCAAGTACATGACCCTCACTAAGAGCAACCATTTTTGATGTTTCTTGTGCTTTCTCTGGGGTAGTTGTGGCAGAAGATGTCACCTCATGAAAAACCCTGGAAGTATAGGAAGTAGGAAGGATGGTTCAGCAGCATCCTTCCGTCTCCTCCCCTTCCTGGCAGGGTTGCTTTTACCATTTACTGCTTTTTATTCCAACCCTTTTCCCAGCAACTTAAATGCCTGTGTGTGTGTGTGTGTGTGTGTGTGTGTGTGTGTGTGTGTGTGTGTATACATGGACACTGGGTTTTTGGTATTTGTTTATTTGATATAGATGAGGTTAGACTACCTTATCTGCTCTAGCCATCTTTTTATCTCCACCTATGTATCTTGGCAGTGTCTTTTTCATGTCTGAAAAAGAATTCTGAGTATTTCACAGTCTGGCTATACTATAAACTGTTTAGTTAGTTTTCCCAGATGTTGAAGTTCTTCCATTTTTACTTTTACAGCAGAGCCATAAAGAACACTGGTGTCTACATTTTGGAGGTATGTGTGGTGCTATACAGCCACCTCCAACTCTGGGCGTTCTTTATTGGGTGAATGTGCAGGTTTTGCCTCTAGAATTGAGGCTACATGTGGACATTGCTGTCGAAGAGGAAGACATCTTTGGTTTTGAGAATGATTTATCCTCCCTTAAAGTCACTGTATTTCACTTCTGTAATAGCACAAAAGGAAGAACTTCTCTATCTATATTGTGTTATAAAAATACACTCTATAATATACAAAATGTTATTAAATATAAAGCATTACAATAAACCAAATGAGGATAGATGAGTACATGATGGTCTCTGGAAAGGGAAGCTGGATTAGGAAGGCTTCTCTTCTTACAAGAGAAGAATTCAATTCTGAAACACTTTGCAAACAGCCAGCCGGCGATGGTTGATGTCCACTGAGACCTGGTCTAGGTAAAGGCTTCAAGCTTGAAATAGGAGAGCAGAGTAATTAGTGACTGAACCCATGAGTTGGATACATTTTATTTGGAGACAGAATGAGTAAAAGAAAAAAGGCAAAGAGACCATAATGAGTCCTATGCCAAGTTTTTGGTTAGCACAGCAAGAGCTAGAGACTTGTCCAAAATAGAGACACCAGAGAGGGAGTCAGGACAGTCAGTGTCTGAGACACGGAGGGAGGAGAGAATACGGGTGGTCCTGAGAGGTCAGGGGAATGAGGAGAGAGTGGCCTTGGAGATGGCCAGTGGGGAATACTGCTTGAAGTACAGCAGACTTAGCCTTTAGGTTCACTCCTCTGCTTCACACACTCTCAAAATAACTCAGGAACTAGAAGCACTGCCAAAAGATGAATAGGCTCATCACTTAGATGAAGTATGAGTCCTTTCACAAGATTTATATTTATCATTTGAAGGAAGAAAGTCAACACCCTCTATAACTAGTGTGAGCATTAGGCTTTTAAAGAATGACTGGTAACTTTTGGGAAAAGGATTTATTGGGAAATATTCTACTATATTTTTTCTGGAGTAGAGAGCAAAGTCTTGATGTGGGAGTCCCCTCTGTGTGCTGTGATTACTATTAATGAATAAAGAAACTGCCTTAGCCTGTTGATAGGCAGAACTTAGGTAGGCAGGGAGGAGTGGGCGGAATGCTGGGAGAAAGCAGGGCAAAATCAGGGAGTTGTGATGGAACCACCAGAGATAGATTTGTTGAAACTTTGCTGGTAGGTCACGACCTCGTGGTAATATACAGATTAAAAGAAATGGGTTAAATTAAGATTTAGGAGTTAGCAAATGAGAAGTTAGAGATAATGAGTCAAGCAGTGTTTTAATTAATACAGTTTCTGTGTGATTATTTTGTTCTAGGCAGCCGGGAACAAACAAGCAGCCTCCTTCTACAGAATGGTGTGAACCCATGACCCTGAGAGTAAGAATCTCATGCTCTACTGACTGCCTCCTTGCAACAAAGTCCTCTTTTTTCTTTCCCTTTTAATTAAAATGGTTTTTTATACAATATATGAACAAAAGTTCACATTTTTCTTTTCTCTCAATTCCCCCAAATCTCCTCCCCTCTTTCTTCTCTTTCTTCTCCTCTTCCTTCTCCTCCTCTTCCCTTTTCTTCTCTCTCTTCTTTTTCCTCTTCCTCCTCCCATTCTTCTTCCTCTCTGTTAAGATAAACAAAATAAACATCATCCCCAAATGAAAATCAAAACAAATAAGCAAACAAATGAAAAAACAGAAAGACAGAAAAAATGAACCAAGCACCCAAAACAATACAACAAAAAGTACACACCACACACACACACACACACACACACACACACCCCAATTCCCCGAAACAAAACCAAGAAACAAAACAAATAAACAAACAACAAAACCTCAACAAAGTGGAATCTATTTTGTGTTGGCCAACTACTCCTGGACCTGGAACCTGCCTTGGAGTGTGGTTGGTACACTCAGTGACATTTTGTTGGAGAAAACAAATTTCTCCTTTTCCTAGCAGTGTCAATTGCAGTTAGCATCTTGATTAAGGATGCGACTTCCCCTTCTCTGTGCTGGGATTTTGTCTGGTTTGAATATATACAGGTCTTGGGTGTGAAAATGTCCTTTCTGATGTCTAATTTATGTTTTTATAATTCTATTATCATACATGAATTCTGTTTTACTAACACATTCTTTATAACAAGATTCAGTGTGATAATTGCATGCAGCATACATGGCTCAAATCCTGCCTCTGTCTAATACTTAGAGATCACTATTTTACTTTCAGGTTGTTATCTGAATTCTGTGTTTAAAATGTAATAACTGAGTCTCCTAATTCTTAATTTTTATTTCTTTAAATTTTAGATGGGTGATGATGGTGCACAACTTAATCCCAGAACTCAAGAGGCAGAGGCAGGTGGATCTACGAGTTCAAGACAAACATGGTCTGCAGACTGAGGTCCAGGACAGCCAGGGCTTCAAAGAGAAACCCTGCGTCAAAAAACCAAAAAGAAAAAAAGATATATATATTTGTGTGAATATATACACATGCATGCAAATGCCCAAAGAAGTGGAACGAGAGCATTGGGCACCTGGAAAGTTGCCTGATGGGGGTGACGGGAACTGAACCTACAAGAGTTGTATGTGTCCTTAACCTCTCTAGCCCTGAGATTTCTAGTTCTTAATGTATATTTGTGGATTCCATTTAAGAAACTTCTAATGTAGGGTGTGCTCTAGCAAATTTTTCCTAATTCTTTAAGAGGACCATTCTGAAGTAGACGTGGTTTATCATGTGAAGAATTTTGAATCACTAAGTTGGACATGGTTGCCTATATTCCCAGCATTTGGCAGGCTGAGTATCAAGAATTCAAGGTCATTGTCTTAGTTACTTTTCAATTGCTGTGACAAAACACCATGTCCAAGACAACTTATAGAAGAAAGAGTTTATTTCAGGCTTCCAATCCAGAGACTGAGTCAGTGATCATTATGTGAGGAGCTTGACAGCAAGCAAGCAGGCATAGTGCTGGAGCAGGAGCTGAAGGCTCACATTTGGATCCACAGGGGGCAGGGAGGGAGAGAGAGAGAAAGAGAGAGAGAGAGAGAGAGAGAGAGAGAGAGAGAGAGAGAGCTAGTTGGGAATGGTTTGGACCTTTAAAACCTCAAAGCTCACCTCCAGTGACATTCCTCCTTCAAAAAAGATCACACCTCTTAATCCTTCCCAAACAGTTCCAACAACTGCAGATGCAATGTTCAAACACAGGTCTATAGGAGTTGTTTTCATTCAAATTACCACAATCATTGGCTACATGGTGGTGAGTTTGATGCATAGTCTTAGGTATGTGAGACTCTGTCTCAGAAAACAAAATAGAATTTAGAATCAGAATTTCTGACTTCAGCATTCTCGTTGTACCATTCCCAACACCTCAACTGCTTTCCCAGACATTAGGTATTCTTCCCACACATTCTTCTTACCCCACCTCTTCCAAAACTTAGCTGTTCTTGTCCAAAATATGGTGGAGAGATTCTGCAGCCTCTCAGGGGCCTCAGCTTACTGTATTTGGGGAGACATGAGTATAACTTTATTAGGGATGCTGCAATATAACTCACAGGAGTGGCTTGCCATGCAAAAATTCAGGTCACAGTTGTACAAGTTGAGTTTCGAGCTGTCAGGAACTTTGATTGCTTCTAAGGCTCCCTCAGTGGATGGCAGATATCTCTTTGTCTCTGTATCTTAATATGGTCTTTCCTTGGTGAGTGCACACATCTTGACCTTCTTGTCTTAGGGACCCAGTCATTTGTCAAGCCCCACTGTAATTAGAAGATTTTCTCCTGCCAGTTCCCAAATAATGACTCAGAGGCTTTATATTTCTTATAAATGCTTGACTGATGGCTCAGGCTTATTATTAGCTAACTCATATTTAAATGAATCAATTTCTATTAATCTATGTATTGCCATGTGGCTGTGGAGTTACCTCATTTTCTACATTGGTACAGACAATTCTATAGTCTGTCAATTATACTTTAAATAAACTCTGATTGGCCGGTAGAAAGGCAGGAAGTATAGGCAGGAAAACCAGACAGGAAGTAGAGGTGGGACAATGAGAACAGGAGTATTCTGGGAAGAAGGAAGCTCATTACGTAGTCCTGCCCAGATCATGGAAGAAGCAAGATGTGACCTGCCCCATTGAAAAAGGTACTGAGCCATGTGGCTAACATAGATAAGAATAATGGGTTAATATAAGTTATAAGAGCTAACAAGAAGCCTGAGCTAATGGACCAATCCGTTTATAACTTATGGAGACCTCTGTGTGATTTTCTTTGGGGCCAAACAGCTGTGGGACCTAGTGGGAGGACAGAAACCCCAACAAGCAGTCCACTCCTCATGTTACACTACATGTCTTGCTTTTTCAGTGACTGACTGTCTTCTCTCAAACTGCGTCTTTTTCCTGTATCTCTGCTTGAATTTTCTGCCTGCCTCTATCCTGCCTTGTTATAGGCCAAAGCAACTTTATTTACATGAGAGCAATACATATTCACAGCATAAAGACCATCCCACAGTATTTATCCCTTTCTGTTTAATCAAAAAGGAAGGTTTTCACTTTCACATAGTGAAATTACATATAGCAAAACAGTTTTTAAGAATTACAGTTACAATATCTAGCCTATTTGTATTTGGCAAAATTAAAGAAAATACTCTATCATCTATCTTATCTTTGTGAGTCTAAAGCTTTATTTCTAATTTATCCTTTATCATAACTAAGGAAAATTATAACTAACTAGTCTTCAATTTCATCAAAGACCCCAGAAAGTTATAATATTACCTGAGTAAACAAGAAGTGCATTGCAAGTAACTTCCAAAACTCTAGATATGACAGAGATATCTGGGTGACTGAGCAGTCATTCCAAGTTCTTCTGTAATGTTGGGGCATATATATTCAAGCCTACAGACTCATAGTATCTGGCAGACATTTTAGCAAAGCAGGAAATTTGAAAGACTATCCCACCTATATTGGCAGTTCATCAGTTGCTTTCTTCTGTGTCCTGCAGAATGTCTGGCAGTTTCTTCTGTGAAGCAGGAGCCTGAAGGACCATTTCATCTTGTTTTGGCAAAGTTTAGCAGTCATTTACCTATGGGTCTTGCATGTACAGTTTATACAGCATATTGTCAAGCAGTCCAGGCAAGAGCAGTTTCTTGTCCAAATGGCTAACCTTGCCACATCAAAAGCAAATTTCATAATGAGTTTCTTTGATGTCCATCATCTACTTTGAAGTAACTGGCACTGCCAGGAACAGACCTGTCTCACTGTCAAGAAAAGTTTAAATTCTTAAAACATTTCAAATACCATATTCTATAGGTCTTTGAAGTATTTGAAGATTACCTACCTAATTGAAATATATCTTGTATACCTAAAAAGCCTATCTAATATGGCTTTAGGTTTGATTATTATAGATGACTATTAGTCTTTATTTTTAAATTATACACTAAATTTTTAAATAAGCTACATAAATATAATGGCCTAAACAAGAGTAGAAATATACATACAGTGTAACAAAATTAACTTTAAATTTGTATCAATAAACTAAAATCCATACTAATGTAAATATCCCAATATTAACAGCTGTTTTTTTGGATTAGAGAAGATTTAATTATCTATCCCTTTATCCTAGCATTTCTATATACTATCTACCTTTTCTCCTTAGAAAGAGATCTTTGAAATTAACTCTTCTGTTTGGCTTTTTTTTATTATGCCCAATAACAACTTGTCACCAAACCTCCTAAACAACAACAAACATAATCCAGTTTTTATGAATGTAGTTTTATAGGCTACTTTCTGTTGATTGAGGGAACTGGTAATCCATGAGAAAATTTAGGAGCATGTACAAGTCATGACTGGAGTATTCTTTAAGACTGGATCATCTCAGCCAGCAGTCTTGAAGCTATTCTGGATGTAGAATTCAGAGGAAACTGAAACACAGGTGCTTAAAACACTGAATCATCTGGGCCATCTGCTCCTACCAGAAATGTTTCAGAGGGTCTTCCTCAATCAAACCTGATTTTTCTTAACCTAGAATGAATCCATTGACTCTTATTTTCTGTGGAAATAAAAGCAGAACCTTTTTCCAAAAGTAACATACCTTTTGACTTAAATTTTGAAGTAAAGTATTTTTAAAATATATAGGTTGGTTTAATCTAGCAGTTTTCATAATCAATTGTCTCTCAGAAGTTAGTTCTTTAGCAGTCAAAAAATCCAAAGAAAACACAATAATATACATAATCCAGACTGTATATTTCCCATCTTTATGTTACTCACTATAGTCTCTATTCCTTTTAAAAGGACTTTTTCTACTTCTTTTTCTCTCCCAAACCTACATAAATTTTTAAACACACTTCTTTCCATTTAGAGGGCTTTTGTTTGTTTGTTTGTCGGAATCTGTTCTTACTGCATATCTCTTTTTCTGACCACATGAGTCTTTAAACTGCTAAGTGGCTACTTTGGCAGTTGACTCTGCCCTTCTCCTTGGTTTCCTGATAGTATGTTTACTGACAACTCTGGGAGCCATATTTACCCCTCCAACTCCAGGAAGTGTCTGGGTTTACACTGTCAAACAGCTGCATGTTGCCTGTCACTCATAAACAGCACTTAAGTGTTTGGTAGCAGGGCCTTTCAAAAGAACTGCTGTTTTTACTACCAACACTGAGTCGGGAAGTCTCTTAAAGGAGCTGCACCTTTGCTTTCTGCCAGCAAATAGAGCCTACCAGAGACAAGACTGATACCAAAAAACTGGGCTTGACTCTGTTTTTGTGTGTTTAGAATCTTTTTAAAGCTTTTTTTTTTAGATCTTATGTGAAAATTCCTGCCCCTGCATTGGGCTGCCATGTGTAATTGGAAGTTTCTCTCTGCCTGAAAGTTCCTGAATAACCAACCTGAGGCTTAATATTACTTATAAATACTTAACCAGTTGTTCAGGCTTATTATTAGCTAGCTCTTACATTTAAATTAGCCCATTTCTATTAATCTATGTATTTCCATGTGGCTGTGTCATTACCTTATTTTCTACATGTCTTGCTTCCTTGGTGACTGATTGGCATTTCTCAGATTCCACCTTTCTCCTATATTTCTGCTTGGATTTCCCTCCTGACTCTACCCTGTCTTGCCCTAGGCCAAAGCAGCTTTATTATTTATGAACTAATGAGAGCAACACATATTTAGAACATACAGAAAGACCATCCCATAGCACTGGAGCATTGAGGAGTCTATTTAAAGAACCACTTTAGAGCTCTGCCTGTGAATATAGTCACACTCTGAGGGACTAGCATTTAAGAATTCAGCACAGAAATGTAGAAGATACAACTCAATCCCTAGCAACAACTATGCTTACACTTGGTGTCTCAAGTGGTATTTTCAAGACATACTTAGCACACCTCTTAACCTCTAGGCTCCATAGTTCTGCTAGAGTTTTTAATGACTGTAAGAATGTTCATGGCTGGGTGTGGTGGTGCATGCTTTTAATCCCAGCACCGAGGAGCCAGAGGCAGACAGAACTCTGAGTTCTAGGCCAGCCTGGTTCCACACAGTGAGTTAGAGTATAGTTGGGACTACACAGATAAACTGTGTCTAAGAAAAAAAAAACAACAAAAACAAAAACCAGAAAACAACAGCAAGAATATTCACAGTTTGCTTTATGTTTTTGTAAGTGTTTATAACTATTTTCTTTTCATAAACATATTTTTGTGCAAGTATTTTAAAGTAAATATAAATATACCCTGACATATATCATTAAGTGTTTGATTTCATGTATCTCTAAAATACAAGAACATTTTTCCACTTTATTTGATTATGTTCACTGCCTAGGTCTTCTCAAATACAAGTACTCAGTTTTGATATTTTCCCGAAGCACTGACCTGCCTAGCTCTGTGCCTCTGCATCGCCTCTCCAGATCGGTGTTTCACAGGAATGTCATCACCTCTAAAGTGGTCTGTGCGTAAATAATATTGGGAAGTGCCCATGTATGTGTATCTGGAGGAAGTAGTTACAATTCCTGCAGTTGCTTTAGTGACAGCCTCTGGATGTAACCACTGGAAAGGTCACTAAAGCTACACTGTAATTCCTTCCCGACTTGAGGATCCTAGGTTTTAGAGGCTATTTTATTTTGTACTCTCATTTGCTTCACTTCTCGGAGATGTTCTGGCTGTGTTAATGGTTTTCCAGAACATTTACTGTCTTCTTTTTTTGTTTTAATAAGGCACATTTTTTTTTAATTTAGAAAAAAGAAAGGCCAAACACAACATTATGAGACAAGGACCTTTCTTTTTTTAATTGTCGTTATTGAGCTATATATTTTTCTCTGCTTCTCTCCCTTCTTCCCCTTTAACCTTCTGTCCTCTCCCATGAACCCCATGCTCCCAATTTGCTCAGATCTTGTCTTTTTCTACTTTCCATGTAGATTAGATCCATGTATGTTTCTCTTAGAGTCATCATTGTTGTCTAGGTTCTCTGGGATTGTGAATTGTAGCCTGGGTTTCTTTACCTTATGTCTAAAAGTCACTTATGAGTGAGTACATGTGATATTTGTCTTTCTGGGTCTGGTTTACCTCACTCAATGTGATGTTTTC